GATATCTTATTTAAATGAGCATGATTAACTGCCTATGTGCTTACTTGCTTACTTGTTTATGTAAAAATGTTTATTGCATAGTCTTGCATGCCAAGTGTTGTACGGTATTAATTCTTGTTGAGTCGTCCACAATGGACCTTAGTGTCATGTTTCTGAATCGTTTTCTCGTTTTATAGCACAATGTCACGGCGTGAGGAACCTAGAGAAGTTGGCCCTAGGCCAACAAGGGGCGATGTTGGTGAGAGCTCTAGCTCCAATCCGGTGGAGCCAGTTGATGAGAACATGCTTCTTAGGGACTTGATTCCCCCAAGAGTTGTTCCCCCAAGAAAAGAGAGTGTTGAAACACCTGTACCCGTAGAAGTGGGTGAAGGTTCTGTGGCACTGGAGTTTAATCGTTTGTTGCAAAATGTCGTGAGGGCAACGATTGTTGCTAATCCGCAATTGGCACCACAACCTACGGTTCAAGTTGAGGAGACTCCAGCTCAGAAGCGTCTCAAGATCATAAAAGGGTTTTCTCAGTTGATGCCGGTAGTGTTTGAGGGCAGTATGGATCCAATGGTAGCAGATGACTACTTGGATCAAGTTGAAACCCAACTAACTTCAATGGATGTGACAGAGGATCATCTAAAGATCATCCTAGCTACGTATAAGTTTGCTAAGGATGCTAAGGTATGGTGGAAGTCAATCACCAACCAGTACAAGGTTGAAGAGATGAGTTGGGACAGGTTCAAGGAGCTGTTTTATGAGAAGTATTTTCCGCTTTCCAAAAGATGGGAGTTACAAGACCAGTTTCATAACCTTATTCAAGGGAGCATGTCAGTGGCGGAATACGAGAACAAGTTCACCTCACTCTCCCGTTTTGCTCCAAAAGTGGTGAAAGATGAAGCTAACAAGACTCGGAAGTTTGTCTCGGGTCTTAATGATCGAATGAGGCCGTTGATCACGGCACAGTTTATTAAGGTTTACTCTGAAGCAGTGGAAAGGGCTTTGATGCTGGAGGCTGATAATAAAGAGAAGGATGCAAGAAGAGAACAGTTGAAGCAAAAGAGGGGTGCAGGGCTATTTTCAGAGGGATCTTCTTGGAAAAGGAACAGGGGCAGTCCATCTCAGTTTTAGGGGCAGCAGACTGCACGATCCGCTCCTACCACTCCTATGCCAGCTGGACCTGACAGGAGTGCAGTTGTTTGTTATCAGTGTCAGCAGCCCGGACATTACAAGTCCAGTTGCCCTATGAGATCGTCTTCAGTTTCTTCAGCTCCGAGAGCTTGTTATGGGTGTGGCCAGCAGGGCCATTTGATTCGAGACTGTCCAAGTCAGAGAGCAGGCACCACTAGTGGCAGAGGGTCACAGCAGAGGCCGTCACAATCGGCTACAGTTCAGTTAGGTTTCAGACCACAACCATCACAGCCTACTATGTCTTCACAGGGTTCACGATCAATTAGGAGGGATACACCTACTATGTCAGTGCAGCAGTCAGGTGTTCAGGTTGACAGTCCTCAGGCACAAATACCACAGGGACGTGTTTTTGCACTGGCAAAGACCAATGCATCTTCTGGACCGTCAGTTCTTCGAGGTATATTTCCAGTGTTTGGTTGTTGGGCCCGTGTTTTGTTTGACTCCGGTGCATCTCATCTTTCATTTCATCATCATTTGCACTTGCATCGGGGTTAGAGGTTAGTTTCATGGATCGGGCGTTATGTGTTGATACACCAGTTGGGGTTTCAGTGTCATTGAGCCGAGTTGTGCGGGATTGTTCTATTGTGATAGCCGGGCGGACTTTTGTGTTTGACCTTATCCTCCTAGAGATGACTAGCTTTGATGTCATTCTCGGGATGGATTGGTTAGCTTCATTTCATGCTATGATCGACTGTTACAGAGGAAGGGTTACAGTTTGCACTCCCAATGGAGACTGTTTCTTTTTCGTGGGAGATCGGAGTGATTCCCACATTTCATCGTTTCATGGAGTTCGTGGACAGAGTCGTGGTGATTACTTCTTGGCTAGTCTTATAGCCGAAGAGGATGATGTTGTGGAAAAAGAGTATCCTGCAGTTGTTCGTGATTTTCTGGATGTGTTTCCAGAGGATTTGACAGAGTTGCCTCCACATCGAGAAGTGGAGTTCTCTATTGAATTGATGCCAGGTACCGCGCCGATTTCTATGGCACCGTATCGTATGGCACCAGTTGAATTGGAAGAATTAAAGAGGCAACTTGATGATTTGAGGATGAAAGGTTTCATCCGACCGAGTGTGTCACCGTGGGGCGCACCGGTCTTGTTTGCTAAGAAGAAAGATGGTTCTTTGAGGTTGTGCATTGATTACAGGAAGTTGAATCGTGCCACCATCAAGAATAAGTATCCTTTGCCAAGGATAGATGATTTGTTTGATCAATTGAGAGTAGCCAGTTGTTTCTCGAAGATTGACTTGAGGTCTGGCTATTATCAATTGCGGGTTAGGGATGAGGAGATCCCGAAGACAGCATTTCGTACACGGTATGGACACTATGAGTTCCTTGTTATGCCTTTTGGCTTGACTAATGCGCCAGCGGCATTCATAGATTTAATGAACCGCATCTTTCACGATTACTTGGACCAGTTTGTGGTAGTTTTCGTGGATGACATTCTTGTGTACTCACGGACTCGGGAAGATCACGAGGTCCATTTGAGTATTGTTTTACAGATTTTGCGGGAGCACCGATTGTATGCCAAATACGAGAAATGTGAGTTTTGGCTACAGGAGGTGAAGTTTTTGGGGCATGTTATTTCAGAAGGTGGAGTATCAGTTGATCCATCAAAGGTTGAAGCAGTTTTGACTTGGGAGCGACCCAAGAATGTGTTTGAGATCCGCAGTTTCCTTGGTCTAGCGGGTTACTATCGGAGATTTGTGAAGGATTTCTCCCGTTTGGCAGCTCCTATGACCCGTTTGACCCGGAAAGGGATCAAGTTTGTCTGGAATGAGGCCTGTGAGTCATCCTTTCAGGAATTGAAAACAAGGTTGACTACGGCTCCAGTGTTGGTGATACCTGAGCGTGGCCTGAGTTATGTGATCTATTGTGATGCTTCACGTGACGGGTTGGGATGTGTGTTGATGCAGGATGGTAGAGTAGTGGCTTATGGGTCTCGGCAGTTGAAGACTCACGAGTACAACTACCCTACTCATGATTTAGAGTTAGCGGCAGTTGTGTTTGCCTTGAAGTGTTGGAGACACTATTTGTATGGTGAGAGATTCGAGGTATTTTCAGATCACAAAAGTCTCAAGTACCTTTTCTCCCAAAAGGACTTGAACAACAGACAGAGGCGATGGGTCGAATTCTTGGAGGACTACAATTTTGACTTGCAGTATCATCCGGGCAAGGCGAATGTGGTAACTGATGCCTTAAGCCGGAAATCTCGTGGAACTTTGGCCAGTTTAGCTATTCGGAAGTGGAAGATGCTTGAAGACCTGGCAGAGATGGGATTACAGTGTTTTGATGATGATGGTTACAGTGAGTCGGCATTCTTATTTAGTCTTGTGGCTCAGCCTACTCTTGTTGTACGAGTGATTGAGTCACAGAGACAGGACCCGGACTTAGATGCCATCCACGCTTTGATCTCTAGTGGTGAGACAGTGAAAGATTGGGCCTTACATACAGATGGGGGTCTACGGTTCAGGGGTTTGTTGGTGGTTCCCACAGTTTGTCGTGAGGATGTCCTACGGGAGTTTCACACTTCCCGTTTTGCAGTTCATCCAGGTGGTACTAAAATGTATCACAATTTGAGACGTCAGTATTGGTGGAGCGGGATGAAGAATGATGTTGCACAGTTTGTAGCTAGATGCCTTACCTGTCAGCAGGTGAAGGCCGAGTATCAGAGGCCAGCAGGTTTGTTGCAACCATTACCTATAGCGCAATGGAAATGGGAGCATATTGCTATGGATTTTGTGACAGATTTTCCAAGGTCACGGAGGGGCAATGAGGCCGTATGGGTCATCATTGACAGATTGACCAAGATGGCTCGTTTTTTGCCTATTAAGGCAACAGACGATGCAGAGAAGCTTGGTGTACTTTATGTGAAAGAGATTGTAAGGTTGCATGGAGTTCCAGTAACCATTGTCTCAGATAGGGATGCTAAGTTCACTTCGAAGTTCTGGGAAGGACTTCAAGTAGCGTTTGGTTCAGCGTTGCATCTTAGTACGGCATTCCATCCACAGACGGACGGTCAGTCGGAGCGTACTATCCAGATTTTGGAGGATATGCTTCGGGCATGTGTGCTTGACTTGGGTGGTAGTTGGGAGGATCACCTTCCACTTATTGAGTTTGCCTACAACAACAGTTATCAGGCGAGCATCCAGATGGCTCCATTTGAGGCGTTGTATGGTAGACCTTGTAGGTCTCTTGTTTGTTGGACTGAGGTAGGCGAGACAGCCGCTTTAAGACCCGACATTGTACTCGAGACTACTGAGAAAATTAAATTAATAAGACAGAGGTTACTTACAGCTCAGAGCCGACAGAAGAGTTATGCGGATAAGCGGAGACGACCGTTATCCTTTGAGGTGGGAGACCACGTTTTTCTATGGGTTTCTCCACGGAAGGGATTGATGAGATTCGGAAAAAGTGACAAGTTGTCGCCACGATTTGTTGGACCGTTTAAGATTTTGGACCGAGTAGGAGAGGTTGCCTACAGGCTTGCTTTGCCACCAAAGTTGGATAGGGTTCACAATGTTTTCCATGTATCGATGTTACGGAAGTACGAACCGGATCCATCTCACATTTTGAGTTGGGTAGATGTGGATATTGATGAGGATGTTTCCTACGAGGAAGGACCAGTTCAGATCCTTGACACTCAGCAGAAGGTATTGCGGAACAAGACAATACCAATGGTGAAAGTCCTTTGGAGACACCATGGAGTCGAGGAAGCTACTTGGGAGCTCGAACAGGAGGTTCGGTCCAAGTATCCAGCATTGTTTTCTTCCTCAGGTATGTCTTGATTTCGGGGACGAAATCTTTTAAAGTTGGGGAGAATGTAACGTCTGTGTATATTTATTTGTGTGTGTGTGTGTGTGGTGTAATTTAAACAAAAAAGAAAAGAGAAAAGAAAAGTTAATGGGTGGGACCAACAAGCATTTAAATGGTCATGAGACCATCTTTGCTTTCTTTTTTTTTCTCATTCCCGCAAGGTCATCTCTCTCGTCCAGAAACTCCTTTTTTTTTTTTTTTCTTTTTTGGTTCCAATCTTCAAGCTTTGATTCCATCTTCATTACTTGCCGGATTTAGGTGCCGTTTGAGGCAAAATGACGAGTGTGACGAGCTCTACGCGTTGATGCAAGCAATTTCCAGTTTTGAGCCTTCTTTGGAACTCGAAAATTTAGACCCATTTCTAGGGTTTTGGTGCAATCTTGAGGTAGGAGCATCTTAATCCACTCTCTTCTTGTTCCATTGTGAGTGATGCTCTTTTGTTGTGCTAGACATGCTAAATTTGAGAATTAATTGCTTCAATGAGGTGTAAGTGATGTTTAGAAAAAATTCATGTCTTAGGGTTATGACTTGTTTATGTGAAAAACATGTATAGATGATGGCTTTGTGGTGTTTTTTGTGAATTATACCTCTTTTATGTGCTAACATGCTTTACTTGGGGATTAATTGTGTTAATGATTATTTTAATGTTGTCTAAAGAAATGTATGTTTATGCACATGTGATATATTATGTGAAAAGCTTGCCTATGTGTTGAGTTTATGTCTACTATGTGTAAACTTGCTGAAAGTGATGTATGAGACCATGCTTAATTGTATTGTGCCAAAATTTCACATTGTCATGATATTGAGATTATATGTACTTTCTTGGACATGTCATTGGGATGCATGAAATGGGAGAATTTGTCTTGAAATGAAAATGAGGAATTTTTGGGAGATGATAGTTTTTGTGAAATGGTTTTGATAAACCCGGTCGCTGCGGGGTTACCAACGGGCCGGAGGTTAATATAGCCTAGAGGGGACTAGGGAGTCGCCCTAGTGTGGTTGAGCTAGCTGGGCCCCATAATGACGCCGCGGGGTTACCAAGGGTCAGGGACACTAGCCAATCCTCCTCTCGTGTCGCGGCGGAGTTACCAAAGGGCGGGCTGTATTAACGTTTGAAAGTGATGGTTTTGAGAATGAAAATGGGGAGTGTCATTGACATGCATTGCATTTCATTGCATTGCATTGCATTGTTTATAATTAGAATTGAATTGTATGTTGTATTTGATCCCCTACGTTGTATGATCCCTATCTCCCATTGGCCTATGCTTTGCTTGAATTCACAAGGACACAAGATTTGTGTCTTAAGTGTCACCTACTGAGCATATAGCTCACCCTACTATTTATACATTTTTTTCAGGTCTTGGAAAAGAACCGGTGGACGACAACCCACCTCAAGCTTGAGCGATACTAGAAGCTCACTTTTGTGTCTTTTGTATATCTCCCATTATTTTTGCAAAGCACTAAAAGTGTGAAGGTGTATATGTATATTTTGCAAAAACTTTGTCATGTAATGTAATTAAGGTATTTGATGATATTTTGTGAATTTGATAACATGTAAACCTTATTAATGAATGGGGAGAGTAATACTAGTTTGAAGTATTATTGAGGTCATTTGATTGTGTATTATCATCTACTATTGCCGTGAATTCGGAATTTGAGATAGGTTAAAAATGAATTTAAACAGGTTGTGATAGGCCTATTTTTTGGGGAGGTAATGCCGAATTTTTTTGTTTAAAAAGTATTAGTTTTGGGATCGTTACAGTTTTATAGAGAAATTTTTTTCCAAGGAAGATATTTTACGTCAAAACAAATGGAGCCTATATGTGAGTCTAAATTTTAATACTAGTATTGAACAGATGAAATTCAATATTTTTTCTTTTCTTTTCCCTCCTTAGTAAGAAATTAACTCACACCCAAATCAAATTTTGCAGGACCTTAATGACAAAATTTATTTGGTATGATAAATCATTAAATTGACAAAGGTGCATAATAAATTTTGGTGATAGGTTTAAGAATAATTTCATGATAATATTACTCATAAACCACAAGAAGATAAGTTTAATTTGAAAATGGAATCATTTGAAGGTTATTTATAATTATTTTCTTTTTATCCACATAAAACCGCATATACTTGAAACAATAGAAACTCACGAAATATAACTCAAATCACTGAAAAAAAAAAAAAAAAAAAAAAAAATGCCTACTTGAAACTATGAGCTTTTGCTTCCAGAAATCTTGTGTTCCAAATCCTTTAAACCTCATGACTCAAAAAAAGTTTCAGCACCATGTTATTTCTGTCTGAACCCAACTCAACCAGCCACAGAGAAAGAGAAGTCATCTTCTTCAGTCATTGCTCTAGAAGAGTACACGTCACCTTCACTAGCATAGGAAGAAGTATCTTCATCACTGTCCCTCTCTTTCAACTCTTCAATCTTATCAACAACCTCCCTCCAATCCCACCTTCTCTCCACATTCCATTCACAGCAGCATATTCCTATCTTCAAGAGCTTAAGCATCTCACCTTCGCCGTTCCTCGTCGCCTTCATGTCCTTATCAAACACCTCACCAGTCCACTCTTCTCTCACAACAGAGTTCACCCAAGTAGCCAAATCTGCATTAGCCCCCTTGCCTTGTTTCAGATAATTAGCCGGGAACTTACCCGTTAACAGCTCGAGTATTAGAATGCCAAGGCTCCACACGTCCGTCTTCTTTGTCGTGCGATCATGTTGGGTGAACTCAGGTGATTTGTAGGCCACCATGAACTGTTGAGCATGATCTTTGTTGATTACAGGAGCGAGTGCGTAATCTGCCAAGAGGGGTTCAAAGGTATCATCTAAAAGCACATTTGAGGATTTGAGGTGACCATGAGGCAGATTTATACTTGGAAACTCCTTATAAAGGTAAGCCAACCCCTTGGCTACCCCTTTGATGATCTTTAGGCGTGTTGGCCAGTTGAGCCCAGGCTGCTCCAGACTATGTTTACCTGATTAATTTAGAGAACATCAACAAATCTAAGTACTGCAAGTCATATGTATTGAAATCAAGCATGTAGGCTAGCAGTATCTCCTCTGCATTCAAAGCAAAAGGTGATTAATTAGTGTATAGAATTGATGTTAAATTACCTACCTGCGGAGGATGTGTTGTTTGGTCTGCCAAGAGTTTCAGGTCAAAATTAACTCAATTATGAATTTGAGGTTTCCAATTTTACTAATTTGATTGCGCTATCATTCTATAAAATAGTGGGTGTTGAGACCTTTCTTAGTTTGTTTCTTTTTTTTTGGTGGTAACATGAAAACATTGTAAGAAACACAAACAGTAACATATATTTTGGATATACTCTTCTATATTGAGTTTCACTTACTGTGGAGATGACTTGCCAAGCTTCCATTTTCAACAAAGTCAGTAATCAGAAGCTTTTCTTCTTTTTTGTAGTAAAAGGCCACAAGAGGAAGCAGATTAGGGTGTGACAACCTTCCAAGCCTTTTCATATGCTCATGGAACTCTTCTCTTCCAACATTGCTCATTTGCCTAAACCTCTTCACAACCATGGCTGGTCCACTCAGAAGCACAGCCTTGTATGAAGATCCAAAGCTGCCACTACCCAAGACTTCAGCGGAGGCTCTAAGCAGGTCCTGCAATTCAAACCTCTCTCTATCATTCCTCACAAAGTACAACTTCCCATGTTCTTGATTTTTGATCTTGTAGATGTTCTGCTGCTCCTGTACTAACGCCACGTCCTTCCCAACAACCTTATGAGCAAAATGTTTCTTCTTCTGGAATTTTGTTGCTTTGGGCTGTCCCAATTTGGATGTTTTGGTCCCCCGGCGACGGAAGAAATAGGAAGCTAGACAGATGAGAAGCAATGCAACCACCCCTGCAGCAACTGCAATGATGGCTATTTTGGGGAATGAGTGCTTCTTAGATACCTTACATGGGTCAAGAGGCTTACCACATAGATTGAGGTTACCTGCATATATGGTTCCAATGATATGCCATTAGATGTTTGGTAAGTGAAAATTGTGTGAGCAGTTTTATACAGATCAGTTAAACTGGCTGTATTTTTTTACAGTTAATGACGAAAAATTTATGGAACTTATTGAGAACTGTATATATGGTGTAGTAAGTTTAGATGGATAGACCATGCATTTAGTGGCAGGCTGCCAGGAAGGACAAAAAGAATTTTTGCTTAATAATCTCTCTAGTAGTCTGGGATCAATTTGATGCCTCTGTCAACTAAGGGATGGAATAAGATATATATACAAGAGATCTTTGAAAATAATAAAATAAACATAAATTATGGTATTTGTTCATTGTGATGTTAAATAGTCTGACCCTCAATTGTTATACTTCAGCTAACATGATTTGTTATAGACGTGCATACCACCTAAAATTCGCGCAATTTCTTAACATTAGATTTGGACTAAAAATCATATACAATATAGTATATTGGTCAAATATAATAGCAACATGATACCCCTTTTTATCTCTGCCCAAGAAAAGATATATTGTTTTCTGTGCTTTTCTTTCTTTTGAAATTATGTATTCTTACCTTGCTTGTCTCTTTCATTTGGTTCCCATACTTGAAAAGAAATCAATTTCCCTCTTCAGATTGATACATAAACAAGAGAGAAATTAAAATATGAGGATAGTTGAGAGAAATTTTATTTGCTCTCTCTCTCTCTCCTTTCTTTTTCTTGATTCCCAGCTATTTTGATAACTTCTAATTTTCTAGTATTTACTAGGTGAGGAAATATGAGGAAACCGATTTCCCTTTTCCTCCCTTTTCTTTTTCCTTTTCCTTTTTTGTTCCTTACTAGATTTGCAAATCAAACAGAGCCTTTATCATTCCTACAGTAGACAGAGAGATGAAAAGGATAGACAATACAGAGTGACAATGAATTGGGAATTAGATATGCCAATTTTCAACTGAAAATTGAAGAATCAAAACTGTTGATTTGGAACACTGATGCAAAGGAAAACAACTTAAATAACAAAAGCATGAAAATTAAAAAATTAAAAAAAAAACAACTTTAATACTGACCTGCAAAAGAAGCAGCATTCATGTTGCTTAGGCTAGCTGGAATTGGACCTTCAAATTTGTTGTTTGCCAGGTTCGCCACTTTCAGATCTTTCGACTGAAAATCAGGTATTCGACCTTCAAACTGGTTATTCTCAAGCCATAGCTCCACAAGCCCAGGCGTATCCGCAAGGGACTTGGGAATTTTACCAGTGAACTGATTATTTGCCAGATAAACCTTCTTCAATGAGTTCATGCCTACAAAAGCATCATCTGGAATATCACCCGAGAATCGGTTGTTGGACAAGAACACTCCTTTCAGTGCACCAATTTTGCTTATATTAGGCATCAGACCTTCAAAGCTGTTGTTCATGAAGCTCATGGTCCTCAACCCTGGTAACTCCGCAAGCGCGTCCACGTCTATTACACCAGTGAGTCCCATGTTTTCGAGCTGCAATCCGTACAAGCCATCATTCTTGCAAATCAAGCCTCTCCAGTTAGAATCATTGCCGGTGCACAAATCAACCGATGCATTCCAGTTGCTCAGTGCAGTGTGGTTAGACAGTAAGTCTCTGAACTTGAGAAGGGTGTTGGCGTCGTCCAGCTCGGAGGCACCATATGGTGCCACAAGGCATGTCAACATGACATGAAGCATGAAAAGCCAATGTGTTGCTCTACATGCCATGATTGAGAGAGGTCAAGAAAGGCTCAAAATCAAAGTGTTTGTACTTTTTGATTAATGCAGTTCCCAGGATTTGTGGATTGTGTGTAGTGGGTAGGACAATGCATCAGAGGGATAGGGTTTTTGTTGCATTAAAAGCTTTGGATTGATCAAGCACGATCCAAACAGGTGAAAATGAGGGTAGGGGAGAGGCTGAAATACTGGGATGGAAATGAGGGAGGGAATTGTGGTTGGAGGGAAAGGGACAAATGGGGATGGTGAGATTGACAAGGTCTTGTGAGTTGTGATTGATTAGCTGGTTCAAGCCGGCCATATATATATATATATATATTGAGTGTTGTTTAGCAGTTTGGTTTCATTACAGTGAATGTTTTGTTTAATAATTTTTTGGTTAACTGCGTGGTGATCATTTGGTAGGTGTTTTCCATCTTGTAATTGATGGTGCTAGCTAGCTCATGGTTGCCTAAGCCGTCTGTGTAATGGTAATGTGACTTTTATATTTGTTTAGCTTCTCAGTTTCGATTTTCCCTATGAAGAAATGACCATACAGCTTGTGACTTGAAATCATGCAATTTGTTTATGAATAAAGATATATCTTCCGGATTCAGTGGATGGCATTAGGGCATGGTATTTTTTTATTCTTACACTATATAATTTCTTGGGACTCACAGTAATTCGCGGTATCGGTCGCAGTATAGATCGCGGTCGCGATCGCAGTGTAACGGATTCGGACAAAGTCAGTATAAACTGACGACGATACGACAAACCATGTAACCATGTAATGAAAGTCGTTATAATGCCCAGAAATTTAGATATGTTTAAGAGTGATATTTTGTACAAATTATAGAAATAATAAAATCCTATGATAATTGGAAGGAAAATAAATAAATTTCACTTCAATGTTATGTGTGTTTTTTTTCTTTTCGATGTGTTCGGGCTTTGTCTCAATTAATAGACGAGACCTGTGCAAAGTGACTCATTTACACAGATTGGGTAAGACTCGGACTATATCAAGCACTTTAAAAGATTCGAACCTAAAACTTAATGATTCATGAGGCACTAAATTATAGAATTTCACCACTAGAATCAACCCTTAAAGTTTGCAATGTTATTTGTTGACCGAGTGTGTTTTGTAGGACATTTTCAATTTGCAAACACAAGATTTGATTAGATATAAGACAGAACATGTTTCAGATGAACTAAAATCCTAATATAATTATATAACATGAGACAACTGGTTTTATTTTTAAAATAAGATTGAAGCATAAGAAAATGTTAGACCATTAAGACTTAGGTTTGACAAATGTTGTTTTAGAAGCCTGAGTTTGTAACTTTACTATAGTATTCTTGGAAACTTAATAAAATCAAAATTCAAGTCGGGGAAGAAAAGGGCACTTCAATCAATTGTTATGCGAAATCTGAGCTTTCGTTTAAATTAAAAGCCTGATCATTTCATGAAAAACCTTTTGAGCATCTAGGACGTATAGAGTCAGTTGAGAGCTCTTTTCTCTTATATTTTTGTTATAAGACCATAAAGTCCTGCTTTTAAAAAATATTTTCAAATATATTCAAATTTTATCAATAATGAACTCTTTTTTTTTTTTTTTTTATGTTACCTGTTTTTACTAAATTACAAATAGTGCCCATTCCTCCTTAAAATACCAAATATGCTCTCTACTTCCAATATTTTGTAACTCGCACCTATTTAGAAAAATGTACTGGTAGTTACCAAAATTAGTACTCGTAACATGTTTAACAAATTATTTCAAATCCACTCCGTAGTAAACTATTCATAAAATGTTAAAATAACAAAAAATTATTTTTCAAACCTTACATTTAGGAATAATAAAAGAAGTATTTTCCAATATTCTTAATTTTCTACTTCATATTTGTTTTTATAAAAATAAATCACATAAATTTGAGAATATTATCTAAAAAATGCATCAAACATCTTAATGGATTGAATATAACATGAATCTGAAATAAAGTCTTCTTTTTTTTTCTTAAATTCATTTTATTCGATCAAACTTTTTAGCCCAATTGTTTAGGAAAAATTAGTTAAATAACATAATGCAAAGGGTGGAAGAGAATTGTATTACTTATAAAATTTTGTTAGACATATCTTTCAAAAGTAGTATTTCATTGTCTAATGAAAATTTTATAGACCTTACTTGTCATTAAAGTGTAAAAGTAGGACCGGTTAGCAATTATTTCTTTTGAATCACAATCCTCCATTTGTAGAAAACTTCTTTACTCCCGTTGCACCGTGCAACAGGCGCATACAACCATTCATTACCGACGCGTGTATTACACAGATGGTCCAGATGCGCCTGTTGCAACGGGCGCAAAGAAGTTTTTCTCCCATTTGCAGTACAGCAGAGGATCCTCGTTCTTAAATTACATGTATGGCAGTTAGTTAATTTACAAATTGCAGTTAATTTAGTTAAAATTTATAAGTTAGTTAACAATCAGTTAATTAACCTAGCAAAATCTATTCACAAACTTTACTCTACTCTTTCTCAAAACAAAAAGTTTCAGTACCACAATGGAATTGCTTTCTGGCCACAAAGGGCATGGAAGTTACACTTAACAGTTTCAGATTTTTCATGTGTTCTCAAGCTCTGAATCGAACTCATTTACTCTGATTTTTCTTGAAAATCCACGCACCATGGTTCAAACTAGAGAAGACATTACATTTCAAACCGGAATAGAAAATTAAACATCAACTTCCATACTGAAAATTAAAACTCGAATAAAAAATTAACAAATCTTCCAAACCTCCACAATGACGAGTTTCGTGCACTGGGTTAACCCTTTTAACCCTTGGATTACATCAGATAGCCTGTCAAGGGTGTCCGAGAAATTTTGTGGAATGAGTGCTTCTTAGATGGCTTGCATGGGTCGAGAGGCTTACCACATAGATTGGGGTTACCTGCATATACAGTTCCAAAGATATGCCATTAGATATATCATATATGTTTGGTAACTGAAAATTGTTAGAGCAGTTCTACACAAATCAGCTAAACTGACTGTACATTTTTACAGTTAATGACACAAAATTTGTGTAACTTATATAGAACTATATATATGGTGTAGTAAGTTTAGATATATAGACCATAGTAATATCAAAATAAATTATAGTTTTAGTTCATTCTGATGTTAAAATAATACCCTCTGACCTTCAATTATTAGAGTACTTCAGCTAGCATGGTTTGTTATAGATGTGCATACCACCTAGAATTGTGTGTGTGTGTGTAATCTCTTGGGCTAAACTGACCTGCAAAGAAGGTTGAACTCATGTTGCTTAGGCTAGCTGGTATTGGACCTTCAAGTTTGTTGTTTGCCAGGTTCACCACTCTCAGATCTTTCTGCTGAAAATCAGGAATTTGACCTTCAAACTGATTATTCTCGAGCAATAGCTCTACAAGCTCAGGCGTATTCGCGAGGGACTTGGGAATTTCACCAGTAAACTCATTATTTGCCAGATAAACTTTCTTCAATGAGTTCATGCCAGCAAAAGCACCATCTGGAATATCACCCGAGAATTGGTTATTGGACAAGAACAATCCTCTTAGTGCACCAAGTTTGCTTACATTAGGCATTGGACCGTTAAAGCTATTGTTCATCAAGCTTATGGTCCTCAAGCCTGGTAACTCCGTGAGCACGTCCACGTCTATCACACCAGTTAGTCCCATGCCTTCGAGTTGCAATCCGTAAATGCCATCATTGATGCAAAGCAACCCTCTCCAGTTAGAAGTGCTACCGGAGCACAAACTGACCGATGCATTCCAGTTGCTTAGTGCAGTGTTGTTAGACAGCGAATCCCTGAACTTGAGAAGGGCCAGAGCCTCGGCCTCGTCCACAGATGCGCCATATGCTACCAGAAGGCATGTCAACATGACATGGAAGAATGAAAATCCAATGTGTTTCTCTAGATGCCATGATTGAGAGAGGTCAAGAAAGGCTCAAAACGAAGTGTCTGTACTTTCTGATTAATGCTGTTTCAAGATGTATGGATTGTCTGGTGGGGGGTATATAGGACATTTAAAGCATCAGAGAAATTGGGTTTTTTGTTACATTAGAGCTTTGGTTTGAAGGAGGTTCCAAACAAAGTTTTGTGAATGATTAGCTGTTCAAGCAGGCCATAAATTGAGTGTTGTTTACTTGTTTAGCACTTTGGTTTCATTAAACTAATCTTTTTTGTGAATGTGACTTTTATATTTGTTAAGCGGAGCTTATGAGTTTCGATGGGCTTCTATGAAGAGCTGACTCTACAGCTCGTGACTAGCAATCATACAATTTGGATGTCCTAAACGTCTATTAAAATATGAAAAATTAAGTAACGGATGTTGCATATATACTCGAAATAATGGTGTATAACTCAAAATTCGTATCGGAGAGGATCCTCTTCCTCTCCTCAGATTCTTATTGAGGGAGTTCAGAAAGGAATTAAAATGGTAAAATAGAGAGGACTAAGAAAATAATGATGGAAGCTTTTTTATGGCATTTGGGAATGAAAATCATCCCAGTGTTTTGTATTACATTTGCATTTCCCTAACACTATCTGAATTAGACCCATTACCAAGATTACAGATACAATGATAAAACATGTATCAGATCAACTAAAATCTCAATGCAACGTGATATAGGTGATTTCTATTGATGATAAGATAGAACCATCGAAGAAAATGTTGGGTCAATAACACTTAGGTGGACAAATTTCATGTCAAAAGCTTCACTATGTCAGTTTTAGATAGATTTTGGAATGTTAGTTAAATTTCATGTCAAAAGCTTCACTATGTCAGTTTTAGATAGATTTTGGAATGTTAGTTATAGTCTGTTGGTTACCTCTTGTCCAAGGGCATAATGGGAAATCAGGGCTACATTCAAGGGCAAAAGGTAAATTTACACTCACCAATCAGGGTTCATGCATTCACCAATTAGGGTTTCATGTATTCCATCAGAAATGTTCTTTTTGATAATGCATGATTAGTGAAGAACAGGCACTTAAATTGCTCGAGGGATCAAACGAAAACAACGTTCTTGTTCAAAAATAGAAGTTCAATCGATTTCAGTGAAATAGCTGTGATACATCCATAAAACTTTGACATTATGTGGTGAGACTCACGCCTCCACTCAACATTTTCGAAACTCTAACATCATGTGATGAAACTCTGACATCATGTGATAAAACTTATGCCTCCACTCGCACAACACGCATTCAGCATCTTTCAAATTTGAAAGATGCATCTTTTTCCACGTGTTAAGTAAAACTAAGCATAATGTTTCTCTCTCTCTCTGTGAGCATATCTAGGGCATATAGAGTGAGTTGGAGAGTGCATTCTAGCTCTTCTTTTCTAAACAAGCTTTATTGATATGATGCATGGTCTAAATTACATGTCTGCTAGTTAGTTAATTTTCAAATTTCAGTTAATTTAGTTAAACTTTAGAAGTTAGTAAAGTTTAGTTAATTATGCTTGCAAGACCCATTCACTCCCTTTAAAGTCTATCACGAGCCTGAAACTCTCTCTACCAGAGCAGCCTAGGGTTACGGTCCTCCATCGCTCACAAAAGAAAACGAAAATGTATCACTACCACAATAAAATTGTACCCTCACCAGAGGCCATCCATATTGCATTCAACAGTTTCAAATTCTTCAGGTGATTCTCAAGCTCTGAATCGAACTCATTTACTCTGATTTTGTCAGGAAAATCCACACACAGGTTCAAGTTACCCAATACATTACATTTACAACTAAAAAACGAAAATTTGACATTAATTTCCAAACTGAAAATTAACCACATTCCTGGACTAGATCACATAACCTGTCAAGGGTGTCAGAGAGATTTCCAAGGCATGCAATGAGCCTGTCGCCTTGACATCTCGTGAAATCAGTCTGAGAGGTCTCCATATTTTTCAGATCAGCTAACACAAAGTCCGTATCCTCACTCAGATTTCCTTCAAGTATGTCATTCATCAGTTCCACATCTTCAAGCAGTTTTGCAGCCATCATTTGCTCCTCCTCTTCTACACTGCTGTTCTCCAGTTTTATCTTCTCATCTACGCTGCGTTTTGGTGGCTTTACCTTTTCATTCAGGCTACTTTGCACCAGCGTCAATTTTTCCTCTGTGCTATGTTTCTGAGGCTTCACCCTTTTATCTATGCTGCGTCTTTTATGCAATGACCGGCGCCTTTGCTTCTTGAAACCTACTGCACCAAAAGTATAAAGTACTACCGTTAAAAGCCTAAGTTTTGACACAGCTTATATTAATCAATGTTAGTACAAATTCATCCGCCAAAGCATTACCATGACTCATAATTGGAGAAGCTTACGCTATCAGATATTTGTTCATTTAAGCAACTTTAACTTCCAGGTTATTCTGAATTCGTAGCGTTCGGATCTTACACTATGCAATTTCCTTCATTGATGAAAACTCAATTTTTGTATGGTTATTGGAAATTTGGAATTAATTCTACCAAGGCCAGAAATGACAACAGTTTAGCCAAATGAAAATGCTAATGCAAGGTTAGACTTGGACCAAAAATTGGTTGCTGTCCTCCACCAAACTCTGTTATTATATTTTTTTCTAGTTTTGGCAAGTGAAACTCTGATAATATTTATTCTGTAAATAATAAATTAAATAACGTCAAGTCACAGGACAATCCAGACAAACAAGTATGAATATATTTCCTGTGACAAGAAAGTTATTCCCCTTGTAAGATGTGGAAGCATTCATATTACAAGTGCATATTTAGATTTTTCATTTTTGGACTGGAGGAAAACCTGGACAACGAGAATCCAGAAACAAGTCAAGTCAAACATAGATTTCAGAAACACATACAAAGAGAATGGCTTACCCAAACTTTTCGCCAAATAACACTGTTTGCAAAAGTTCAGCACACAAAGATATCATTCAACATTATAATAAACTATCAAGCCCTCTTACCTAAAGCAAAAAACTTCATATCAGCATAAACAATTTTTACAACCAATCTGCTATTACCTAAAGCTCAAGTTCAAGATGTGTTATTAAACAGATTGGGTTCAATTGGTCAGAGAGATCATTAGCCATCAAGATCAATTTGCGAGAAGCAATTTTCATACATGCAAGAAGAATGATTATAACATTCCCGGTACTAGTTAAATTTATAATCATAATAAATATTGAGAATTATCAACCATCAGCGGCAAAATGATGCTCATGAAAAACATCTCCACTACCACTAGCCATCAAAATAACACGCATGAGCAAACAAGAGAAGAAAGAGACACTGTGAGGGCATAATTGACCTCTCCCTAGAACCAAATTAGTCAAGTACCACTGTTCTACACCAATTAGTTATAATTCCAACCCAAGGGAACAACTCCCAGAGATTTGAGTATATGATAATCAAATACACAGCAAGAAAGCATGACAAATGAATAAAAAAGAAAAACATGTTAGTAGAATCTCAAAGCATGTTGTTTTTGCTCGAGAAAAAAGGTGATTAGAGGTCATACCAACCATTCACTAGCAACATATGAAGTTGGGACTAATAACTCTTGGGTAAGCTTAAATGCGAAACTTTGGGGCAAGATACTAACTCCGCTTGTTTGGGGTGCTATGGAAGGAAATATCAAATTACCAAACAGAAACTAAAAGCGAGATATGGAAGCCCGAAATCCCAATTTGAAATTCCAGGTGGGCAACTTTTCTTTGTCACGTTTCCCTCAGAAACAGGCTACTCAAAGAGTCCCTTCAATTCCTCGTTTAAGGAACAAAGAGAAGATATAAAGGAAAAAGGCATTCCACACCCTAATAATCTTATAACTAATTCTGAAAACCAAAGCTTTAAGTTTCTAATCTATAATGAACTTCTGATGTCGCTAGGAGAAATTTAAACCATAAAAAGATGTCTGTTAAAATTGTAGTGAGATTTTGATTTCGAAGATCCAAGAAAGGCCCACCGATTCCAAAACATCCGATAATATTGATTTCTACGTTTTTGTGTAAAAAGGCAGAAATCAGTTTGAAGAAGTTTATCCTAACTTCCAAGCACCTTTTTTAGATAACTATCAATCAAATAGATATACAACTTTTAAGAAAATTTAATTGAACTTCTCAACAATAAAAAATTACAACTCAATTAGTAAAATGAAGTTTGCCAACACATGAGATTATAACTTACTTATCAAAAAAACTTAACAATTTGTCCAAGGAATATAGTATCAAGCAGCAGCTGAAGCTTCAAATAGCTACAAAAGTAATGGAATTTTTATTTTGACAAGTCGATAAAAGTCACAGATATAATATATCTTCTAGTTTTATCATGAATAATAACTTCTTTGGTATTCTCCGAATGTGGATGAGAAGGTGGATGCCATGAAGTAGGTGGTGGCAAAGGGATAAAATTTGAGCAAGATCGAACCTTATAGGATGCTTCGAGGAGAGTGCAGTCCAGGGTCCCCAGGACGGCTATTTGGCACACTGAAGTCTATCACCAAAATTAACTGTTGACAATGGAAAGAAGCAGATAATAGTTAATTGGTTTAACATGTGCAAGAAGGATGAGGAACCGCTTAATTGTTTGCTTCATCTTTGAATGGTCAAGATTTGTGGGCCATCATTGCAGTTGATTGGGTGACATTTAAATCAAAAAGGGAGACGACTCCAACTGGAGAGGAAGTAAAGTGAGTAGGAGAGTTAAGACAATCAAGCAGGTGGCTCCATCATCTTTGATGGGGTCTCTGGTTGAGTGAAATTGAACTCCTTTTTAGACTTCAGATTATAGGATTTTGAGTTCACTCTTTTTATCTAGATTATTGGAGCTCTTCTTTGTTGTTAAAAATTTTCTATAAAGTTTCAAGATGGGATGGATATAGCCTTTTACAACATCCTTGTATATAAATTTGTGTATCTATGGATGCACCTCTTAGATGGTTTTTAATTATAATTTTTACTGATTGTTAAGTGTAAGGACCGGAACCCTTGGCTGTGATATGGTATTATGCAAGGTCCATGATCTAGGCCTAGCAGCCCGGTTAAACACCCCTCCTTGATATTATCTAATGGCTTTTTCAACCGCACAAATTCTTTTCTTCAACTTATTTTCTATTGGGTTTGGTCTGAAAAGACGAGAGAAATAGAAAGTGGAAGATATTGAGATAAACTATATTATTGTATAGATATAATGCATTGAGGAAAACATCAGACAGATTGCATTTATGTTACTAGCCATAGAAGCAAATTCACACTTTGGAAGGGTCTAACAAGATTAGAGTAAAACTCTTCTTAAATGAAGCATTTGTATATGATACTTGAACAGTTCTTTCTGATTAAATCCAAAAGTAAGACGTACCTTATGTTCCATGTTATCACCTGATAAAACATTCTCTCCTCCACAAAGTTCTTAACACATTAATTAAACCATTTTAAACAAGAAAAACATCTACTCTACTTCCCAAAGTGGAAGGTCAGAGCATAGGGCAAATGGGTGTGCAAGTTTCTCGCCAAAAAGGAAAAACGTCAGTCCTTTTGTTATCATTATACCAACAATTACTGGGGAATTAAACACAAGCACCTTACCTCTCTTCTTTCCCTTTTTAGTTGAATTTTAACAAATAAGAATATCTCAACAACAATTAAACACTAAAATGGAAATACTCTGCACAATTGAAGTTTATCAAAATTATCTAACCCAAAAATAAAAAAAATAAAAATAAAAATAAAATAAAAATAAAAAATAAAAAATGAAAAACAACCATTTATGGAGTTGGAGATGAAAAGGCCATACCAGATTCAGCTATGACTTCCATCACATCGACCTTCGCTTCCGGATCGCTATCCGGGTCAGTTTCGCATCGATCCCCCTGTGCCTTCAAATAAACATCAATCAAATCGAACACCTCGGCATCGAAATTCTCAGGAAGCCCAAACTCTCTTCTGCTCTCACCGTCGAGAGACCAATACGACCTGGGTTTCGACTCAGATTCCCATTGCTTGATACCATTATACTCAGAGAGCAACGAATCCCATTTTCTGCGACACTGATTCAAACTCCTAGCAACATCCAAAGCGTTGCAGTTCTCCACTATTATGCTCCATTTCTGGAACGAAGAGAGGGTCTTGAGACACTCGCCTTCAACGGCTGAGATCTCGTTCACTAGAATCATCGATTCCTGTACGGTCCAGTCGGGAGCGACCTGGGAACGAGTGCGCCGTGAACCGGAAACCCGCGATGGAGGTCCGTCGCCGAGCTCCATTTCGTACTGATCTATGTCCTCCTCCTTGATTTTGGTTGGTCCGTAGGTGTTCGCCATTTTGTGTGTGGGTAGCTAGGTTTGGAGTCACGCGTGCCAGGTTATTAGAAATCCAAGTGTTCGGTGAAGATGGTCATCGAACTTCGAACCAACAGTGTCCCTGCCTCCATTTCGAATCCAGATTATATATATCATGTACAGAAAGAGATCCAGCAATATCGAAATAACGTTTCACTTTAAACTCTTTTTTACATTGAGATGCAAAAAGAAATATGGCATGTAATTTTTCTTTCAAGTACAAGTATTATAAGGGCACATAGGAATGGGATGGAGTTGATGCGTCTATAAATAGGTGGGTATGTGTATTACTTTGGGGAGTAATAATTTTTGGATAAATAAGTAAGTAATCATTTGTCACACTTCGTTTCTGAATCAGACTCCAATTTTAATTATGTGTGGAATTTGGATGAGGTTGATATGTGTATAAATAAGTATGCAGCACTACCTAACAGCTTGAGCTTTTAAATTATAACAATCTATTTTATCTCACATCATTTATAATTTGGTTAAAATTATAAAACTCCTTTCTTATTTTCAAAAACTATCAACTAACCCCCTCAACTAAAGAAATGATCATATTACCTTTGATGTTTTTAAAAAATCTATCATGTCACCCCCTCCCTATTAGTTTCCCGTCTAAAACTAGCTAGATCGTATCACGTGACAATCATATTCAACGGTTGCATCATTTTGCTAACCAAAATAGCTTTGTAATTTGTAATGACAAAATTACTCTTCTCACACTATAATTTCAATTTAATAAAATATTAATATATTATCAAGGGCATTATTGTCATTTTGCACTAACTTAGCAGCTTCATCACATAAAGGGGACAACGTGACATTTTTTGCTAGTTTAGAGGGTTGTTTGATAATTGAGGGAGTTATATGACGTTTTTGAAAACAATAGGAGAGTTTTATGATTTTAGCCATTTTAATTTAATATTACGGGGTGGTACCAAATTTGCATCTTAGATTTAGAATGGGTCAAATTCTAAATCCAAAATCCTAATTCAATGCTCTCAAGAGCATAACATAAATGTATTTAATAAATATAAAATTTTCGAATGCTTATTTTTTTCAAACTCTCTGTGGTTACTTGTATTTTTAATATAAGTGTTGTAATAGTGTTGCATGATTGGTCCTCAATACTTTGTGCATCAAAAAGGAAAGGAGGGGAGTGGGGAAAGAGTATTGGACTTTGGGAGTAAATGATTCTAGTTGTGTGCAGGCCATGTTATTAATATATTTAGGGTAAATTACATTTATCTTTTTTAAAATTTGGATAAATCTCATATAAGTAGAGCATTTGAAGTTTATTACTTAACTATCCTTAATACTATAAAAAGTCAATTATATCATTATATATTTATATGTAATATATTTTTAAAATACAAAATATATTATAAAATCTAAAAAAAATTAATTTTCTATCTCATCTCTCTAATTACTTTCTATCTAAAAGATTTGTTCAAATTTAAGAGAAAGTCAATGTAATTTATCCATATATTTACTTAATTAAATATAACACATTATTTTATTATTAGGACTTTTATAAATAGATGGACTAACCTTTTTAAAATAATAGACAAAACATGAACGATGCACCAATATCTATTCGGTTGGGGAAGAGTATTGGACTTCTTCGTGTACTATTAATTCCTTCATTTATTGGTCATTAGTTTGGAATTATAAAAGATGTAAGGAGATGCTCAGTACTTTCAAGTGCGCGCATTACAGCAATGTTCTTTCGATGCAGACACAATACTAGCATGAGATGCAGCCAAGTGTGGTGAGAGGGCCATGGCGCCCCAAAAATTTTTAATAAAATCTATTTATGATACTAAATTTAATCATTAATGGTGATTTTCTATAGAAAAATTAAATCTACAACCACCCCCGAACCCCCCCCCCCCCCCCCCCCCTCTTTTCTTTTTTTGGCTATTTATTGTTATTGCTTCAAAGTCTAATTCTTAATTATTATTGTAATTTTTTGCTACAATATGTTATATATATTCCACACACACACACACATATAAAAAAAAATGTTTGACAATTCGTAAACTCGGCAGTTCTTCTTCCATTTTCTTCTTCTCATATAATTTATAGATTTGCTCTTAACCATATACGGTAAAAAATGCACTAAAAAAAAAAAAAGTGTTTATAATTCTATTATTTACTTTTATATTACTATTTTGGCCCTCTCCTAAATAAATATTTCTTACTCTCCTCCTACTTGCAACACAACTACATTGAGAATTTTGCATGTATTGCATTCTCGATGTAATGGTGTCTCGATGCGATAGTGTTGTGTAATTAATGTAATGGTTTCATGTGTATTGCAGTTTGGAATTTGATGTAATAGTGTTGTGCGTGTTACTTCTTGGTATGCTTAATAATAAGTTTTGTAACTCGATACATGGTATTTTATGTGCATGGTATCAAAATGAATCCCTAGTAAAAAATAGAGGACCGTGCATAAGCCCAAGAAGGTTGAGCCAGTGAGGACACTAGGTCCTAAGAGGACGCAGGTATTCGGTGTATCCGGTACAGACGGTATGATGTGCCCGGGTGCATCGTATATATTCTCCCTAAGAGGAGGTGATTTTGACGTCCCACATCGTTTGAGGGGGAGAGATTATTGGCACTAGGGTTGCAATCGAGCTGAGCCGAGCCGAGCCGAGCCGAGCCATGGTGTGCTCGAGCTCGACTCGGCTCAAGTGATAGAATGCTCAAGCTCGGCTCGAGCTCGAGCTATTTAAGTTTTTTTTTTTTTTTTGTATTTCACATCTAACCAATCTAAAAAAAAAAAATGAGAAATAGATTTGCAGCAATAAAAAGAGAGAAGTTTGAGAGAAAAAGAGAAAGAAAGTGATAAATTTGATCAAAAATTAAACTTACCAGAGTTGATTTTGATGCAAGAAGTTGAGAGATGCACTGATCAATAGTAAACCCCAAAATCTATACTAAAAGTCAGTTTGGATGAAAGATAATTAATACATAAAAATCAAATATAAGAAAAGAAAGAGAGAGAAGTAAGATTTCATGATAAAAAGCAAACTGTTGAGTGTGTTGCCGCTGCTTGGGCTACTGATAATTTTAGAAAAAGGAGAGATGATTAGGGTTAGACATAAGACATGGGCTTGGGTTTGATTATACAGATGGACTTGTGTTTGATTGTACAGATGGACTTGGTTTTTATTTTTAAATGAATAAATGATAAAATTGGGTCTAAAACATAATAAAAAAATTTAATGGGCTTGTGTTTGATTGTACAGATGGACTTGATTTTTATTTTAAAATAAATAAATAATAAAATTGGGTCTAAAACATAACTAAAAAGTTTAATGGGCCTGTGGACTAAGCCTTCATGACATAAAATTATATATTATAATTGGATATGTGTGTGTGTGTGTGTGTATATATATATATTATAATCGAGTATGTTCGAGAATACCTTATCAAGCTCAGTTCGTGAACGATTCATCAACAAACGAGCCGAGCCTATTGATGTTCAGGCTCGGCTCGTTTATGAATCGAGCCTCAAAATTCGACTTGAGCTCGGTTCATTTATAAATGAACCAAGCTCGAGCCGAGTAATTAACGAGCCGAGCCCGAGTAGTTCGCGAACGACTCGGCTCGTTTGCAGCCCTAGTTGACACTTATATTTGTGAACGTCTCTTAGCTGTGTAGACGCATTTTAAAAATTACGAGTACAGAAAGTATACATGCAAAGTGAATAATATTTACACAATGTGAACGGGTGACATGGCAAGATTAGGCCACCCATTGACGTTACAACATTTTTATTAACATATTATAGGGGTGTTTTGTGCAATCAATCAATTCTTAGTGTCATTTTTTCTAAAAAATTAACCAAGAGTATTGTGTAAAATGTTAATAATTCAGGAAATCTTTTACAAGTTGCCATTAGATAAAAATACAATTAGATCATATATATATATATATATATATATATATATATATAAAGAATTAATAATTATTTATAAAAATTAAAAAGAAATTAAAAAAGCTTCAATTATCTAGAGTACGACGTGAGAAGAAGTGATGGGAGAGAGATAAAAAAAAAAGAGAAGAAAGAAGAATAATTTGGAGACAGGAGAGAGAGAGAACCCAGTGCCTCTCAATATGGTAATTTGTTGACTTTTGAAACAGGAGTTTGATTATAATAATTTTTTTCTTTTTTGAAAATGTAAATTTTGAGTATAATAGTTATTTCGTATATATAGTGGACAAGTCTGCCTCGGTGGATTGAATATTCCTATATGGGATCTTATGGAACTGTTTGATTCGGATCAATAAAAAAAACACACAGACACAGACACAACACACACCAAATATACACGCACACAGAGATTCTCTTTTCTATATATATATATATATATATATTCATTTTTGTATATTTAAAATTTCATGTTGTGCTTTATGATAGCATATTAATAATAATATATGTGAACGTGTCATTTTTGGCAGGTATCACCCATTTTGGCTACCGCGTTTAAAACGGTCACTCTATCGCTCTTCCTAAATTCCAAGGAAGAACCTAAACTATAAAGATTCCGTTTATTTAAATTCAACAATCTCTTTATAATGCACATAAACTAAACCCAAATATTATGGAAATAGCTATAACACAATAGTAATAATAAAATTGAGCCTCTCCCATATATGTAAACAATATAATAACATGCACTTCAATTAAGATTTAAAAAATCTCAATTCTTTCCATACTTTAATTGAGAGAAAATTATAAATATTTAATACATGTATATTATATATTCAATAAACAATTTAAAGTATTTAAATCTTTAAATTAATCAGGTCAATATTACTTGCTTATGCACCAAACTTGATAGAATAACATAAGAACATGGACCAAGTATCACTCAATTCCGAATAATAAAATAAATACTCAATAAATACCATCCATGTACATAACATTATTTGAAGCATGTAAACGAATTACATGCATTAAATATCCACTGCTCACAATTTAATCACAAGTACCTTACTGGTTAAAGAAAAGAATTTCAAAGCTTCATTAATAGCATGACTGAATTTATAATTGGAAATTCAAATAACCAGTAAATATTTTGAACCTTTATTACATATAGCAACTATAACCTCTAAAATTCTTCATGAAAATAAATTATTCAATGCATGCTATATGTTTAAAACTTTAGACAATAAACCCAACACGCACTATTTTCATATTTAATTAATGGGTCAATATACAAAGAAATGCATGTCTGCGTACATGACATAATTTTGTATCCATGGATACAAAATTACAAGCTATATTTTTTAAGTTTTATTGGAGCACATATTTTCGTCAATCATTTCTAACGGTGATGTGCATAAAATTTTTTCAAAAGTGAACAATCTTATAATAATCCAATAATAGTTCTCACCAGAGTATTAGGCCAAACAGAATAATAGTTTTTGGTAATAGTTTCAAAAAGAAACAAACCTTTTATATATATATATATCAGCATATCCAAGTATATATATTTCAAAAGTAATGAAAACTTTTTGAATTTTACCATTAAAATTAATATAATAAAATAACAAACTTCAAGGGGATTCTTAATTTATATATATATATATATATATATATATATATATGATGCATGTAACTCGTGCACAATATACAAAGTGTTTTATAAAGCATTTAAGTTTTCACAATTAAATCCATTACATTTTTTTCATCGTTAGTCGTGCATACTTTATAAAGAAAACAAATTCTAATACATTGCATAATAAACTGGTTGCTTAAAAAAATTCTCGTGTTCGACGTGCACGATAGTATTTTAAAACAAAATCTTATATGTTTATATATAGATTTATTTATATATCCATGTATGAATGAGTACAAACACGCGCAATTTTGAACACTACATTTAATTAATCACTCATGAAAATCGAGTACACAAAGGCACAAAAAATAAAGTTTACGCAACATGTGGGATTTCAAATATCAATAATTATTTATTTATAATTCAAATATACTGACTCAAGTATACTAGATTATATAAATTAATCTTTACTATTTTGACTTCTACAAATCCTAATCTGGCTTTGATACTAATTATTGAGTTTTATTTCAATAATTCATGTAGAAATCAAGAACACTTTAATTAATTAAAGAGTAGAAACTTTTCTCGTACCTGATTGATGATTAAACCGCTAAATACTTTCAGAATATCCATCGATTGAAAATTGTTCTTCGATAGGGCTGAATAAGGATTTTAAAACACTTTTATATAATAACAATAGGGGGACGACATCTCTACAAATAAATATTTCTAAGTCTCCCTTCCTATCATGAAAACTTAAATTTAAATAACACTAAGTTGAAAAATCACTATCACCTAGTTTAATTATATCAAATTGAAAAGTACAATACAATCCATCAAATATCAATAATCACGTTATAATTATATTTTAAAAACGTAACGCATACAACCATAAAATAATTTTTATTATTTATATATATATATAAATTTCAACATAACAAACTTGCTAAACATTGTTTCGTTGAAAGGGAGAATCTTGCACCGACAATGGTGCACCAATGCTCTGGAAGTGGTATCATCCTAGTGTAATTATAAAACTGGTCCAACAAAAGCCAATTTTTTTCAACCAATGTATATATATGTAAATGTATATATATATATATGAACACCTTTTCCATATCAATAAGACCATTTGTTTTTCAACTTAAAACATATACCTTGGAAAATAATTATAATTTGATTTGGAACAATTTGGATGTGTTTTGATTGTGTTACAATTCAAGTCAGGCTAGGATTGAATTAAAATCACATTTCTAGGCAAAGATCAATCAATAAAAAAAACATTTTGGATCAAATTGGACTCATAGGTCTGGTAAAATTGTCTACATCTACTATATTTAGTCGAGTGGTAAAATTGTGTAAGAGTGTGTGTCGACTGTCGAGTGTGATTATAATAAATAAAAAAAAAATTATTTTTTGATAATGTGAATTTTGAGTATAATAAATCTTTCGTATATATAGTGGATTTTCCTCGATCCTGCCGGGGACAAGTCTGCCTCGGTGGACTGCCTAATATTATTTAGTGGATTGATTATTCCTCGATGGGATCTTATGGAACTGTTTGATTTGAATCAATTGAAAAACACACACACACCAAATATATATATATATATATACACACACACACACAGATTCCCTTTCTCTATATATATTCATTTTTGTATATGTAAAATTCATGTGTGCTAGAGGCGTACTTGGTTTATGATAACATATTTCTATTTTTTCATACCATTTTCTGAATAACTATACAAAAATCTGATTAGTTAAAAAATATTTTATAAAAAATTAGTTTAAAAAATAATTTTTTAGAGAATTAATTTTTATAGTTTTTTTAAAGCAATTTTGTTCTTATTGGAAAATGACATTGGAACTTCTATACATACGTATGCCATATGGGATAAGAAAAAGGAGTAGGAATCTTTTTATTTTAAAACAATAATATCGCCCCATTACTAAGTCATATCTATAAAATATAATAAATAAATAAAGAATATTCTTATGCGTGGGGTCCATTCCATGTGAGACGACACTGTGTGGGGTCAAATATAATAAATAAATAAAATATAAAGAATATTCTTATGCGTGGGGTCCATTCCAGGTAGATCTTACCTCTTGGAATTGTCCCACCTGATTTAATGGAGTCCACATGTGAGACGACTCTGTCTTGGTATGAATAATTATCAAATGATTTTCGACCATTTGATATTTGATGAATTAATTTAATTAGATTATTATTTATATTTTTTTATAACATAATAATACACTTATTTGAGGCTATTTTTTTAATTCAAAAATCTGAATTGAATTAGTCCAAGTATTAATAGTTCAGAACTATTGAGATTATCGGTTCGCTATTTTTTTTTTTTTTTTTCAAACTTTTTCCTTGCATAACATAATTTTTTTTTTTTTTTTTTTTTTGGGTCCTGACCCCAACTCGTATAATTAACCTTTAATTAAACATTCGTTTTTCATTTTCTTTTTCTCAGAAAATAAAGAATGAAGAATCTAATTATACAAATAATTAGCATTACTCTTCTCCATTTTTCTATGTTAAATGGTAAGAATTGAACTTTAATTAATTTTTTTTTTATTATTATTTGTCCTTACCCCAACTCGAACCCTAATCCTCCTCATTGAGAGCGATATCATAACAACCAAATTAATGGCTCGGTCGTCAACTGAATTTTTTTCTTACAAATTAGCATACCTTTTATTACCGTAAGTAATCTAAAATTGACGGGCACTAATATTTCTTCAAACCATTCTAGAACTTGTAGACTCTGTCCGTTACCTTTGGGACAATGGCTAAATCGTCAACTTAAAATAATTTACCATTCTGTATATTTTTATTTTTTTCTGTTTTACTTTAATATGAACAATTAATTCATGAAAAGAGGCAATTTATTTAGAAAGAATAATGTTATCGTTTGCTCAAGTCCATTGTAGAGAGACGTCCATCAACTTATGACGTTGAGCTCAAAGACAATAAAACAACTATTTCGTGGACGGTTTCTTCAAGTGTGATGAGAGAGACTTCGATTCATTCAAAGCACAAAAATGGAACTAAAACTAAGTTGTTGAAATATACTACGTATTAAATTGCCTTACTACTAGGAATACTTAATTAAATACAACATGTATATATATGTGTATGTTATGGTAGGGCCCACATAGGGACGACTAAGAAAATAAGAAATAAAAATAAAAATAAAAAATTAAGGAAAGAAAAATAAGAAGAAGAAGAATTACCATAGGTAATAGAAGAAGAAAAAAGGAATGACATAACTTTAAAAAGATTTTTAAAAAAAAAAATTAGAGCATGATTGAAGTAGGGAAATTTTATTTTTTAAAAAAATTAAAATAATTTAATGGGAAAAAAAAATGAAAGAATTAAAAAAAAAATGGAAATTAAAATAGTTTTAGGAGGCACAATATATATATGTAAAAATAAATAAAAAAATAACCATATATAATACAATGGACAGGTCAGGGCACCTAACATATACTGGCTCTGCCCCGCCCCAATCATTAGTTCAAGACATTTTTCATCCAAATTTGAAGTGTTACCAGAACACTAAGGTTTAATGGAAAATAAGTATAGGGATTGTCAAACTCTCCATAGGAAAATTAATCCTAGATCTTTGAAAAGTCTTAACAATAATTCACTATTATTAATTTGCATGTTTTTTTTTTATTATTATTATATTATTAATTTGCAGATTGCAATGCCGACCCCCTCTGTCTCTCTCTACGTCTCTCTCTACGTCTCTCTATTATATATATATATATGTAACAAGCATGTGAGGGACCACCATTCTTAGCTGTTATATATATGTTAAGTACCATCAGTTACCAGTATTATTTCACATAATTACATTTATTAATTGACAAGAAGCAAAACTTTTCATATACTTATCCTATAAACAATTCAATAGCTCAAGCCACGACGTTGACTTGGATCGATGCATGTTTTGTTAAAATGAGCATCACCATAGACAACAAGAAGGAGCTAGAGCCAAATCCCAAGAAGAATCATCGTTCAACCGATCATAGGATGGTGGACACCGGCGGCGAAGCGGACAACAAGTCTCTCGAGTCAGGAGGCAACCACCACCACCACCACCACCTCAACAACCACCAGTTTTTCCGGCAATTCCTGAGAATCACGGTGTTGTTCGTGGTGGTGGCCGCACCGTGTCTTGTTCTTTATCATTGGACTCATCCTTTCGAGTTGTTGCCCAACTACAGCTCCTCCTCTTCTTCTGACCATAACTATGCTCTTTGTGTAAGTACTTAATTATCCTAAAATTTTCCTCTTACAGACAATTGATACACACACACACACACGCATATAAAAAATTCTCGTTACCAAAAAAAAAAATTTGAAGTTTAACAATTCTTTCTATCTATATATGCAAATATAAAAGATGTTTGTTTTCTCTCTAACAGTTTCATTTCATATAAATATATATAATTGTAATTAATTAATTTTAGGAAAAAGTGTTCGTGTTTATGTCATTATAATGTATTGCGACATTGGAGCTCACAGTTAAGGGTAGCAATTCAACCTCATCGAAACCTGACTCTTCTCTCATATATTCTGTGTCATTACATTTACTTATGTAACAACTACGTTACATCAAATTCATACTACGTTACAAAGTTTACAACATATTCACATATATATCTGTTAAGTTTTTATTTTTATATTTTTCTCTTAATTGATACTCACATTACTCTCTAAATATTTAAATATAAGATCTGATATTTCATAAAGCACTAGAGTCAAAGTACTCATCCTTAGACCTTCTAAAAAACACATTATTAATTATTATTATTATTATTTTTGATGTGTAACAATATTTGAGGGGGAGGATTAGGACAATTTGGGTCATAGGCTTAAGGTCTAATTATTATTGAGTATACAATAGGATGGATGGGGTTTTGATTGATGAGTTAGTGGATGAAATGTATTGGCAAACACTCAATAAATATTAGGCCAGGTGAGACATGACATGTCTATTGCATATATAGACACAACCTGTCCCATTCCCACTAAAACTTGTACAAATTTATTAATTCTTTTTGGGTTAGAATTTAAGTGCCTTTGCAATCAATATTACAATTTAAAGTTATTTATATGAATTACATAAAATCCTCTTGACTTGTACTGTTTTGAATATAACTCTCTTTTTTATCAAAAAAGAGTTACTTTTACTAAATACCTCTACTAAGTTAAGAAAGCTTATACAATTTGTCCAATTATAATTTTACTTTGTAGGGGGTGTTTTTGATAATAATTCAAGAAGCAACTCTGGATTAATTGGAGACTTGGAGGGAATTTTGTTGATCAAAGAAAATAAAAAAATTAAAAGGAGTTTATTGTAAAAAGTTTAATGCAATTCGTACAATTATTTATAATGATCACTATTATATATGAAATAAATGTAAAAATATCAATACGTCAACATCATCTATTAATTTTGAGACGTGGTCTTTTTTTCTTTTTCTTTTTCTTTTTTTAAATTATTGAATTTTCATCATTTGGTGGGAGACTAACATTTTTCTTTACGATTTGATGCGAAAATTCACCATCCATCTAGACAGTATTGACCCAGTTGTTATAATTGAGCCTTTTATTTATTTTTTATTTATGTGATGGACAGTATGATATTGTTATCCAAATGTTTTTTATTTTTTTCACCAAACACGTGTTATTCGAAAGTCAACAGAGGATGTGAAGTGTTCACACATATATTACATATGTGATATATCCTAGTTCTAGAAATTAATATGCCAACTTGAATAACAGTCTTGGCCTAATTGAACAAAACCTCAGTACACAAAGACTAGCATATGCATAAAATAAGTGTACTATATATATATATATATATATATATCTATGTTATATAGCAGCTCTGCTCAAAACATGATTTTTGTATGTCTGTGTAAATGTAATAGTGTCTAATTTATGTCCAGCGACTTCGTCGGCGCATAAAGGCCAACTTTCCAAATTAGTGTATTCGCGTTCGAATTTCAATCCCCGTACTCCCAACTTATCTAACAGGGTGAATTACATTAAATTTCTCTTTTTTATCTGTATTTTTCACTAAACTTTTTTTTTTTCTTTTTTTTTTTCTTGTTAATAAACCCCCTTCAACTATTTGAGGGAGGTAATTTAACTAACGAAAGTTAGTTCAAAGGGAGCTGTTTGAATATTTAGTTTCTCATATGTTTTTTAGACAAAAATATCCTTGTACCTATTTTAATATACCCTCACATATATATCTACTTTATTATTACTTTTAGCCACATATCTTCCACCATTGCAACAACACGTACTCTTTCATCATTATAATATTATATATAATTTCTATCATAATATAATGGTATATATACTATGTGTCATTAAATATTATTTATATTATATTTTCATTTCCATCTAGCCTTCAGACCAATATAAATTTAGGTTTTTTTCTTGAAATTTATCTGCTATATATATATATATATATTTGAGAATTATATTGTGCATTCATTTATTTGGTTTTTATTGATTTTCATTTTATATAGATTTATTAAAGGCACACTACGAGAAATAATGCCTAATTTTTTCCCTTTTATATATTAATATTTATGCCTACATGTTTTCTTCTTCTTCTTCATTTTTTTTTAATTTATATATATATTTCAATATCATTTTTTTCTATAAAAAAATAAAAAATTCCTTCCATGTGACTAATGTGAACTTTTCAGTTTAGTAAAATGTTAAAACAAAAAAAACAATAAAAGTGTTAATTTTTGTGAATAATGTCGTTTAGGTTATTTAATAAATAAAAAAACAAGAAGCAAAGTAAATTTTCAAATAGGTTTTAATGGGTATTTAAGTCAATCCATATTTTAGTTTTCTTTCAACTAACTTTCGTTAGTTAAATCACCCCCTTTGAATAGTTGAGGGGTTTTTTTTGGCAAAAAATTAGAAAAAGGGAGTTTAATGAAAAACATTAATAGAAAAGGGGGGTTTAATGTAGTTATCTCTTATTGCTTGCTTGGATTATACACTGTATATATGTTTTGACTTAATTGCACTTCGACCTCTATGCTATTTGTGGGTAAACTATACTTTTGAATAACCAAAGGTTTTTGACCCAATGGTATAACCTCCCCATCTTCAAAGAAGAGAGGTGGGGTTCGAGCACTGGCGTGGGCAAAAAAGTGTGTGTATTCGCTTTACCACCAAAAAAAAAAAAAAAAAAAAAAAAAACTGTACTTTTGAATATATAAACTGTATAATAGCACTTACTTCCTTACCATTAGTTTTTCATTAAATAAGATGGGTAAAATGATTTTTTTTTTTTTTTTGTCCATTTTAAAGAGAAATATCTCATTAAATATAAAATATATTAATTGTAAAGCTACAAAATATGAAGTAACTGTTTTACCAAGGCATCTGAACTTGAAATTAGCTAGTCTCTTTGTTCATTGTTCACTTCAACTTTTCTTTTTCTTTCTTTCCTGCATTTTCAGTTAATGTTTTGATCCAACTTTGTCACATTTTAAGGACAAGGATGTTTCGGAGTTGAAGAAGGTTCTGAAAAATGCTTCCATGGCAGACAAAACTGTTATTCTAACAACTCTAAACGACGCGTGGGCGGAGCCAAATTCTATACTTGATGTGTTTCTTGAGAGCTTTAGGATTGGGGATCAAACCAGTAGGCTTTTGAATCATTTGGTGATTATAGCTCTAGACCAGAAGGCATATGCTCGTTGCTTAGCTTCACACCCTCATTGTTATGCTCTCAAAACTCAAGGCAATGATTTTTCAGGTGAGGCGTATTTCATGACTGAAGACTACTTGAAGATGATGTGGAGAAGGATTCGTTTTTTACAATCTGTTCTTCGTTTGGGATACAACTTTGTTTTCACGGTATGGGATCTCTTTTCTCCTTCTCTAATTTGAATCCATGTCATCGATTTGTGCATACAATTTAGGTAGTTTTTGTGAATGGTATATCTATTAGTTGAAGCATTATAAATATAAGACATATTGTTATATGGTTTGCCATATCGTTCGATACGCGACCTTTTTTCAAGTTCGATATGTGACCTGTATCGGTCAGTTTACACTGATTTTGTCCGAGTCGATTACACCGCGATTGACTGATACCACGACTGTAACCAATACGGTGAACCATTATCAGTGTTCAATTAGCTATAGTTCTTGATTATAGTTATACATGTGTAACAAAACGGTCTCATCAAATTTATTAACGGTCATAGATGGTCAATGTTGATGTGACAAGTTCTTTTTGTTTGTGAATATACTTTTGTTCAATACATGTGCAAAAAGATAAGTATACCCCAATTTGAAGGGCATATTTGTTATATATAACTATAAAACTTGCTACATTAGCGTTGTCCATATATAATCGTCAGTGAAATTGATGGCATGGGTCATTTTGTTATCTACATGTAATTAGAAGGGAGATAACTGTAATAATTCAAAATGCAAGGGAGATAAATATAAAAATTTCTAACTAGAGGAGAGGTAAAAATATAATTTACCCAATTATTAAAGTTGGTTATTAGGATGTTTTATCAACTCCACATAAAAAAGGGTAAATTATGTTCACCTCTCTTCTAGTTAGCTAAAAGTTCAAACGGCTCCCTTCGATTTTTAAGAATATCATTTATCTCCCTTAAAATGGTGTCCGTCCAAATTAAAGTTAGTCAATGCTATTACTGTCAGCATGCCGAGAACCCAAAAAGTCCATATTACCTCTGACTTTGTCAAAAAGACCTAAAATTTGAACTTATGCCAATGTATTTCATTTTTAACCTAACTACAGCATCACAAGCTCTTTCTAAATGAGATGATTTTGTATTGCTGTTATTTTTGTCTACAGGATGCTGATATAATGTGGTTTCGAGATCCATTTCCACGTTTTTTTCCGGATGCAGATTTCCAGATTGCTTGTGACAATTTCTGGTTCAAATCTGACGATTTAAATAACAGACCAAATGGAGGTTTCACCTACGTAAAATCCAACAATCAGACGATCCAATTTTACAATTATTGGTACTCTTCGAAAGAGAATTATCCAGGGATGCACGACCAAGATGTGCTCAATAAGATAAAATTCGATCCTTTCATCAAAACAATTGGGCTCAAGATTAGGTTTTTGGACACGGCTCACTTCGGCGGACTTTGTGAACCTAGCAAAGATTTCAATGCAGTCTGCACAATGCATGCAAATTGTTGTTATGGTTTAGAGAGCAAAGTTCATGACCTGAGACTCATGCTTGAAGACTGGAGAAAATTTATGGCATTGTCAACTGATGTAAGAGCTTCACAACCATCATCTTGGAGTGTTCCAAAGAACTGCAGGTAGCAACTAAGAGGACTCAATTTATGCTCAATTAATTAGTACACAAATTAAGCAAATAAAATTAGATATTAGTTGTTTTTGTTTTCTGAAATAAGTTCATTATTGCATGGTTATTTTCTTCCAGTCTTTCAAATTTTCATCCTCCTGATTCACCAAAGAAGAATGGAGGAGGAAGGATGTAACAATTGAGAAAATGACTAGACTTTGGAGTAGTCCTATTTATACACTTGAAGGTAAATTGCTTTTTGTTTGCTAGTCACAGTTTAGAGTTTTTAATGTGTCTTTCTTTTAGGAAATTATACAAAATGCTTTGGTATTATTGTTTGGATATTTCACTTTGTTGCATTTTTAGAGAAACTCAAAATAATAATAATAATAATAATAGTAAGACTTCACTTGAATATATATATAGATATATATTTCAGCTTGCTCGCTCCCTAAGTTGTCACAGTCAATTGACATAAAAATCGTGTTATTGTTACAGGGCCTTGCACGAAGCTATGAATCATAATCAAGGTTCTTATATCTCCGAGCACTTCCATCTTCCAAATTGTGAATTAATTGGTTTATTTTATAATTTTCATGGGCACACAAAGGGGATGAACACAAATGTAAATTAATTTATGATTCTATTTTTTTCTTTTCATTTCCTTTTTTTAAACTAATAGTCAGACATTATTTTTGCAACTCCAAGAACAATGGCGGTTGGAGCCTTAGGAAATTTAGACGGTTGCGGGCTACCGCCGGTTTAGAAAAAAAAAGACCCTTACTTCTTCTAATTAATTCTTCTACTTCTTTTATTTTATTTTTTATTTTTTATGTAAGTCTCATTATAGATTTTTTTATTTAAAATATGCTCTCTCCAATTTTTATTTGAATCATTTAAATGTAATAATATGCAAATTCTAATAATAGAAAGAGATTGTCTCTCATTTAATGCATCATTAGGAGAAAAAATTTATTGCTCCCTATGTATCAATGACATAGTATCACATATGTCAACTGATTAGATACGCAGTGATAGAACCTATTAATATAAATCACTTTTACTTATGTGACGAAGTATCAAATGTGTAGCGAAGTCTTTCTCTACCATTAGAGTCCAGCTTTGTATGATATCGGGCCGACGTAACCCAACCCGACTTCGGGTTGAAGTCGGGTTGGGATCAGGCTGGCTTGGGTCTGCCTAACTTGCAAACCTAGTAATAATACGACATACTAAAATAAAACACTTTTACTTATATAATGAAATATCAAAGGTGCAGCGAAGTCTTTTTCCACCATTAGAGTCCAAATTTGGACTTTAAGCTATGGAAAATGAAAAATTGAGTGAGAGACTGTAATTAAGAAACTAATTATCTAATTAAATGCAAAAAAAAAAAAAAAAAAAATGTTACCTAAAAGAGAGAGGAAACTCTTCTTCCTTTCTTTTCATTCTTCTCTTCCTTCTTGCTCCCTCTTCTTCTTGAGAAAAGGTTATGGAGGAAGCAGGGACAGATTTAGGAATTCATATGAGGGGGAGCAAATTTATACAGAAGAATTTTTTTATAATTTAAGTGGGGGCAATTTCAAATTTTTATGAATATAAATGCAAAAAAATATAAATTTAAGGATATAAAATGTAATAATAAAAAATTTTAATGGGTGTCCGTGCCTATATGAAAGGTCAAAATGAAAAGAAATACTTTTATATTACTAAAGGAGCTTTGGGTAGCTCCAAAAGAAGGCTATCAACTTGGACCTAATCTTCTTGTTAAATGCAGCCAAAGTTGAAAATGGGCATTTGATTTCTAAGTAAATCAAGACTTTGTTTATTAAATTTTGATGGTTCAAGTTGATTTTTTCATTTGAGTATTAATTAAATGGGTCAAATTTGAGGTCAAAGGTGAAAAGCCAAAGTTTGACTGTAGAATCTGGAGAATCAGAGTTCATGAATCTAATTATGATGAAAATAAAATTTGGTATTCTGTTTCATTTTACAATTGGGGATTATATTAGCCCAAGAAATTTTATGGTCAAAGCAATATGGTGTATTTTGGGGTTTTATATTTGATTTGGAGGTGATTAAGGTTAAAAATTGAATTCTTCATATATTTTGGTCTTGAATTGTCCGAGTATTGATTAAATTTTATTGTTTGCTTATTTACCAGAAATAAATATTTATTTTATTACATGTAAATAAGTAAACTACTCTATATGAACTCAATAAAAATGATTATCAACTTTCAAAGTAATTAAAAAAAATGAACTCTCCCCTTCCCCCCTCCATCCTTTCTAAAAATAAGTTTCGAAAAATCATTTTATGATTTATTGCCAAAAAAACTCAAAATGCAAGGAAAAAATAATATTCAAGTTTGTTCTTTTAATACTTATCATCCTTTTGGGTACCTGTGGAGGGAAAAAAAACTCCCTCCAATAAAAAACACACACGTCACCACTACCCATATCTACAGGCCAAGGACATATAAGGCCCATCATGCTCAAGCCCAAGTCGAGGGTATTTACAGCCCAAGATCATTCCATCAAGGCCGAATCAAGAAGCTATCAGCCCAGCTTGTCGTCAGCCCAGATATGAGTATTTAACATCCGGCCCGTTACCTAAGCCCAGCCGGATCAAAATATATTCAGCCCAAGAATGCACAAATCCTACCATTTGAAGAATTTACCATAGAAGGAAAATTCCGATAGGAAGTTCTGTACAAGGCAAATTCTATGTATGGAAAATTCAACAATGGAAAGAACTCTATTAGAAAAGAATGGTTATATAGAAAGAATTGGAGGGCAAGCAACGCGAGTCCTACCATAATTCTGCAATCTTTTGTATATAAATAGAGGCTAAGACCTCCAATAAAGAATCAAGCAATTCCACACTTCTCTACACATTGTTCTTATTTATTTTTATTGTTTTTGAGTGAGTTGTTTTATTTTTCTCAGTCATTATTGGTTGAGCGAAATTTTGCACCTACACTTTGGCGCCGTCTGTGGGAATCGTATAGAAATATACTCCCACTTGTTCTTCCTTTAATCGTGTCTGGAATGTCAAACGGAGAGTCAGTAATGAGTCAACAGATAGAATTGATGCAAAAGATGCGAGAAGAGTTCTTGCACCAATTTGAGACACTCCGGCAAGCGAACGATACGAGTGTCGCCCAGATAGCTACGCTTCAGCAGCAGACTCATACGCTGCACACGGCCATGGCCAAGCTAACGCCACAACCACCACCAGGCGATGCTGCGGCACCACCTCCCACCCGGAATTTACCTCCGGTTCACGAGCCTCCAGCCAGCGAGACACCATCCAACGGGGCTCGACCTAGTGAGGTTCAGCAAAAGCAAGGGACGAGGTCCGAGGCGGTTGCTTCGGATAATCTCCCGCATCGCACTCAGGACGAACAGGCCGAGTCCAGCCATAGGCTTACGGTATGGTCCAATGGCGTTCCGGATGGCGCACGTGTACAAGATGCCTTCGACGAAAAGAAGCTCTTGAGAGTCCAGACACCAGCCGAGATGGCTAGAGAGCACAAGAATTCCTTGGTCAAAACCCCCTTTACTGACGAGGTGTACCTTGTGGAGAGGCCGAAGAAGTTCACTATGCCATCCTTCACCCAGTTCGATGGGGCAGGAGACCCCTCTCGGCATCTCGATCATTATGTGCAAAAGATGGCACTGGACGATCATAACGATCCGTGGATGTGTAAGGTTTTTCCTACCAGTTTAACCGGAGCAGCGTTAGAATGGTTCAGGAATAGGCCACACAAGTCTATCCCTGACTATGAGACCTTGTGCACCATGTTCTTGGCCCAGTATTGCGGAAATAAGAAGCAGAAGAAAAGTATCGCCAGCCTTTTCACCATAAGGCAAAGGAAGGGAGAAACTTTGCAAGATTTCTTATCCAGGTTTAACATGGAGGCTTCGGATATAGCAGATTGCCATCCTGCCACGGCAATCGAAACGTTTAAGTTGGCGATGATCCAGGGAACCAAGTTTCACACATCCTTAGTCAAATATTCCCCCCCCCCCCGGGATATGCAGACTTTGAACGCTAGGGCACAAATCTACATCCGGTTGGAGGAAAACGTAGCCCACCGTGCACAGCACGCTACCCTCGTCACGGTGGAAAACAAGTCTCGAGAGAAAGCTGCGAGCACAAGGATGCAGAAGGTCCCTCATACCGCCACACAAGTCACCCAAGCGTCTGAGAAAAGGCGAAGGACAGAGGACAGGCTTACCCCTCTCCGTACTACCTTGGCGCGCCTCTTCCAAGAGAATAAGACGAGGTTCGCGACTCCTCAGCCTATGAAGCAACCCTTGGAGCAGAGGGACAAAAGCAAACATTGCGCCTACCATAGAGATTATGGGCATACCACCAATGACTGCAGGTCCCTACAGCGACAAGTAGAAAGCATGATAGCGAGAGGAGAATTGGTGGAGTATCTCGCCACAAAGGAGCACGTAAGACCTCGGGAGGTTAACCCTCGACGGGTAGAAAGCGGTCAGGTAAAGGTTATCCATGCCATACACGGAAGATCAGAGGATGATGAAGAATCTGAAGAATTGTACAGATCCAGGCTGCGAGAGGCTCATAAGTTACGCAGGTTGTCTTCAGTAAACACAGTTGCACCAGGCAGCATCAACATTGGATTCGGTAACAATGACCTTTCTAGAGTCCAGCGCCCGCATGAGGACCCCTTGGTCATCAGCCTCCTGGTAGCGAATTACATGATCAGGAGAGTACTGGTAGATCCGGGAAGTAGCGCCAACATCATTACAAAAACAGCTTTTGATCAGTTGGGGATTTCGCCATCGTCCATCAGGCCAACTTCCGGCCCCCTAATGGGATTTGATGGTACTAAGGTGAATCCGCTTGGGGTGGTCAATCTATCCATTACTGCAGCGAAGAGAACTCTAAAGGAAAACTTCGTCGTGACAGAGATTCATCCATCTTATAACCTCATTATGGGAAGAGGTTGGATCCATCGTATGAATGGAGTCCCTTCTACACTTCATCAAGTAATGAGGTGTTTATCCCCGGATGGCAGGGAGGTCATCGACCTCTGGGGAGACCAGGTTGCTGCCAAAGAATGTTACATGCTAACGCTACACGAAGCAAAGAAAGCGTCGAAATCACCTCAGTCAGAGGCGAATCCCAAAGACGCAATCAAATAGCGGCTACAGTATCCTCTGCCCAAGTATCTCAAGGCAGAGGAAGAAGCCGAAGTTGAGGCACCTACCGATGAGTCCCTCGAAGCTGTAGAGGTAGTCCTCGGAGACCCTCAGAAGACCACCTACATTGGCTCATCTTGCACAGCCGAAGAGAATGAGGCATTGATCAGGGTTATTCGGTGCAATTCGGATGTCTTTGCCTGGGGTCACTCAGATATGGTGGGGATCAATCCTACAGTCTCATGCCATAGTCTGAGGGTTAACCCAGAATTCAGGCCGGTCAAACAGAGGCACCGACGGTTCGCACCTGAACGCAATCGCATAATAGCCGAGGAAGTGAATAAACTGTTACGAGCAGGATTCATACGAGAGGTGCAATACCCACAATGGCTCTCGAATGTAGTAGTCGTTCAAAAAAAGAATGGGAAATGAAGGGTGTGCGTAGATTATACCAACCTTAACAAAGCTTGCCCAAAAGATAGCTATCCTCTGCCCAAGATTGATCAAATGGTGGATGCTACGACGGGATATGAAAGGCTCACATTCCTCGACGCATACTCTGGCTATAATCAGATTCCCATGAATCCTGAAGATGAGGAGAAAACTGCTTTCATCACAAAAACGGGCACTTACTGCTACAGAGTGATGCCCTTCGGTCTAAAGAATGCCGGAGCCATCTACCAGCAACTGGTCAATAAAATTTTTAGTAATCTACTGGGCAATACAGTTGAAGTCTATATCGATGATATGGTGGTTAAAAGTATACGGA